ACACACACACGCCTTCACACATGTAAAAACAGCTCCATGATATATCAACTCACAGTCTGTATTCTCATCATATCGAGTATTCATTGTTTAAATATTTTTACATGTTGTCTAGCACATTGATGTGTATGCATGTGTTTGTATGGCCTCCCTCTGCGTGCCCTGAGGCACAGTGCAGTCTGCTGTCTGTATCACTAGAAAGAGTAAAGTGCAGGTCATCCCTGGGCTGACACAGAAAAGCGTCTGGGCGGGCTCCTCATTCAGCCTCTAACCCAGTCTATGCACGGTTATTAGAGTGGAAAGAAGGCAAAGTGAATGTGTGTGTTACTGCGCAACCCCAATTCAACCTTCACTTTTATCTGTCCAGACAGACTCATAAGGTATTCTTAAAGGTGACAACACTACAGCGATTCTGTCGTGACAGTCGAGGGCATCTGTCTGACACACAGCATGTGTGCAAGAGAGCAAGACAAAGGATTCTTCAGAAGCTCAGACGCTCTGAATCCTGAATCCCCTCACTCTCATTATATCCAACAGGCACTCAAAGATTCAGCGTCTTTGAAATGTAAACAAAATCCAAAGCAGGCTTCCTTAATGACAGTATCCTATCAAGGCTGGAAGGAACACGAGCACAAAATAAGGCTTCTCTAACAGAAATTCTAACTTGTGACTGTGAAAAAAATATCATTTTGAAAGGCACAAAGGATGCCAGAGCCTAAGATTAGAGATCTAATCTTAGCACAAAAACAGACACTAAAGGCTGGTTCACCACTAATATGGTGCTCCGTTTCCCTAAATTGCTCTGTGAGTTTTATGGAGACGATGTGGGAGGCAGAAAGGTCAGAAACATTGAGGCTGCTACTCAGCCAAGGATGATATTTATCACTGTGACAGCCCCCCTGTTTAAAGTCCACCATACGCACTCAGACTTCATGAGCTCCGATCAAATATGCATCTCTTGTCTCTTCCCAAGTCTCTTTTATTTGCTGTCCCTGTTCTTTTAATTTCTAAATCTTTCCAAAACCGCCCCACAAAAACACACAGAAAAACGTCTGACTTGTCAACAGCGGAGACGCACTCCTAATCATCCCGACTGCAGGATACAGACGGAGAAAAAGACACAATTAATAATTGATCTGCTCTTAACAGCTCTGTGGCTCACAGAATCCATCGAGTGAAAGGACTGGAGAAATGAAGACGGGGAGAAAGAATAGGAGCCCATGATGCTGTGGTCTTTGAGTGGCTTGCTCCTGGGCTGAATGGGATGCTGTTGCCATGGAGACAGAGCCATATCCTGTCCCCTTAGAGATGAGATGAGCAGGTGCAGAGTGGTCCCACAAAGGCTAGAGCCTGATTAGTAAAGCACTAAGGTTGTCGCTGGTTACAAACACCGCAACGCTCCAATAATGAGCCCTCTGTACTCGGACAAGGTATTAAGAGAGAGCGTGCATCATTGAATAATGATATAAATGGTACAAGGAAGGATGCTCTTTCAACATTTAGTGAGTAATCAATAGAGAAAGTTCCCGTTAAAGAGTTTTGAAGTTTTGTTGTGAAAGAAAGAAAGTCAACAAGTGAAGCACGTGTTTCATTTGGGTCCTTTAAATAATTTACAACATAGTAAGAAATTAATTCGCTGTAAAATGACTAAAAATAGTCTGAGGAGTGTTGATTTGTTTGTAACGGGTTCTTTTCTTCTTGAAAAAAGACATTAAATGACAATTCAGGATGTCACTTTCTCCAAACTTCTGCTTCAAACAAGTGAAGGTATTTGCACGGATTCATTTTTTTCCCTTAAAAAAACATGTCATGAAGACATGAAGTGGAGTAAAACTGCTTGTGAGGCTTTGGATTTATTTCAGCGGATGCTATATGAAGGGCTGTGTAGCTGGAAACACAAGCTGTCAAACACACTGTACCTGAACGCTGCTGTTGCCGACGACGGTGGCTCTTTTAACCCGTCTGCCTAATCCCATCGCCTCCCCGAGCAACATGGCCACCCGGCGCTCCATGTTAGCTTGAAAGGTCCTCTCGTTGACTTTCTGGTCCAGCACACCCAGGAGCACTACAGCAGAAACAGCACACAGTGTGAAGACTGTTTTATGTTTTACTGTACGACTTTGTAGCTGCATGAAAAAAACCCCAAACCGTCATACCTGTTCTAACCCAGGAGGAGCGAAGCAGTTGGCTGGTGTTCAGCTCTGGATAATGGAAAGCTGTCGGACAAAGTTCAAAAGGATGATGAGGAGGAATGAGGTTTAACCCAAATTCAAATGCAAAAACATAACAGCACAACCTTGAGATACTCACGCTCAGCTATCTGCAGCACAGGAAAGCCCATGTAATAACTGAACTCCACCATCGTGAGCTTCATCAGGGCGTTGCTGACCTCCGAGCCCGTCAGATAACCCCTTGAACCACGAACAGTGAAGGTGATGTCCACCGGCTGTCTCACCACCCGTTGATCCTCGTATTTAGGAGGAGCCATGGTGATGTTCACAATCTGAAACACACATTCCTAATTATACCACACAAAACATTTCCCATCCTTTTGTTAAGCAGTTTCTGCAAAAGCTCCTTTGTCTCTTAAAGAATTACTCTGAAGTTCTCGTTCTGATAATAATTGGCTTCAGTGATTGGAAAATAGGAAACAGAAGTGAGGAGTCTGCCCCGGGGCACGGCCTGATAGTAGTTCACAAAGGATTTCTATACTACAACAAACGCTTGCTTTAATCCTTACATTTATTCCAACTAAAAGTCTATAATGCAGGCATCAGTGTAATCAGTATAATAGGATAACACAAAACCCCACCGCAGCCAACTAACCATATAGCGAATAAGCTCTTTATTAACAAACAGTAAGCTTCTTTAATACTCAGCAACTAGAGCATGAAGGCCTTTAAATATAATTATCCAAGTAAAGAATCCTGGAGTCTTGTTCATGATTGATGGTAAGATGGAGAATGAAGCAGACAGCTTCAACAGCGATGGGAGAAAGGAGGGGAATATGAAGGTGCCTAGACTCCAACTCATGGTCATAACCTTGGTGTAGAGACTGAGTAGAAACTTAGCATCGATTTTGAGGTGGCTTGGGCATCTCTTTAGAACGAGACTGTAAGAACTGGAGAGAGATGTTTGGGCTACTGTGCTCACCATGCTGGATATCAACATCCACAAGAAATAAAACAATAAACAGGTGGATAGATTGAGCATGAATTGTATTCTACGCAACCAGAACAACAATCTTAATAAGCTAGACTTCTCAGTCATAAACTGTCGAACAAAGCTCTAGCTGCCGCTGAGAGCATACAGCCCTGACAGACAAGAGTTATTGTTCAGGGGGCTAATGTCACTGAGTCACTACGCTTTGAGGTGCAAAGCCACAGTGAAAGCACCCTTATGAAAACATCTGGACTGGAATGCAACTGGATGAGCGGCCGTGCTTCCCTCACTCGGTCCCACTCACATGCACTGTGAAGTTGGTCGACTCCTTTGAGCGCCGACGCACTTCCGCAAAGGCCATGGTCAAACCTTTCTCGATGCTCTCGCTGAAGTTGCAGAACCGCACGTCGATGTGACCGGGAACGAACTGCAGCACTGCACAGAGGAGGGACGTAGAGGGTCGGAGTTTAGCAAATTAAAAATTGGCACAAAATTTCCAATGCTGACATTTCAAAAGAAGGCCTGATGGAAGGACGTTTACCTGAGTGGACTTGATATTTTCTGTCTGGCGTCGTCCAGCTGGGAGACACAGACAGGAAGCGACGGCCAGACCTTCGCAGAGCGTTGATGACAGATATGGCCGTGTACACAACCGGACCAGACACGACGCGGAACACAAACTTTGGTGGGGGGTCCACAACCTTCACAGAAAAAGCAGGAATGTAATGACATAAACGAATCACTTATTACAGTCACTTATACACAATTATTTTAAATGGCTTGTGATAAAGACGGAGTTGAGGTCTGGAGTTGCAAAGTTGCTCCTGGCCTGGGGTGTGTTTACTACAGAACCCCAGATAAAGACTCAGGAAGTGGTCTGGCCTTCGTAGTTTGTGTGCACCACTGTCATGTTCACAGAAAACCTACTTATATAAAGATAACACACACTCACACACACTCACGAGCCAGCATACACACTTACTGTATATGAGAGCATCGCATGTTTTTCCTAATTACGTAACACAGCTTACATCTTGCATATGATTATCTAAGAAGCAATAAACACTACCAAATAAAATGAACTCTCCTGTATTTACCTGTAGCTCCACCGACTTGTTGAATTCCCCTTTCAGTATGTCTCTGACTTGAGATTTGGCGTATCCAACGGTAGCCCCAGAAGGAAAACCTGACAGACAAAGCAAATGTGTACACTACAGTTTAAAGTTATACACAAATAAGTAAGACAAAGCAAGATGAGATCTCAAACTTACCAATTCTTATTAAATAAGTCGGCCTGTCCAGGTCACAGAGGTACTGTTTAGATGTCGTAGCTGTGGTCTTGCCACCAGTGGTGGGGGTGACGTTGACACTCGTTGAGGCTTTAGCGGTGGCAGTAGATCTAGTCGTGGCTTGATGAGGAGTGTTTGTGGCAGTTGTACTTTTGGGTGCAGCAGAGTCTGTATTAACTTCAGTGCTAGCTGGGATCAAGGTCACTGTGGCGAGGACGTCAACTCCATCTTCAGTCACCCCCTGATCACCCAAGACGACTGGGGGGGCCACAGTCACATTATGAGACGTGGATTCAGTTGAAACTAAAGTTTGCTCAGTTGTAAAAGTAGAGTCCTGGGGGGTGAATTCTGTGTCGTTGACAGCCGGTTCAGTGGGAACTGGGGAGAAGGCTCCGGTTGGGAAAGACTCTGTAACAAACCAGTGAACATCCGTCAGAGACGAGGGAGATATTACATCGTCTGGCAGCAGAGGTGTGGCACTGGGTCGCACAGGTTCTGTGACTGCAGTTCTGTCCAAGCTAGCAGTGAGTGAATGTAGAGACCAATCTGTGGCGGACACCGGACCGCCCCACATGGTAGAAGAGGGATCAAGGAAGTGGTTTGGGACGATTGAAGGATCGAGAAAAGGCTCAGAGGCATTGACCAACACAGGACTCTCCTCTGTGGTTACCAGTGGAGTTGATTCATCGTGAGGCTCAAACCCTGACAGGTCACTGGAGGACTCGTCCTCAGCCAGTTTGGTATCGTTGGTGAAGCCACTGGTGGGTGTGATGTCCGTAGAGCTGATGGACACCACAGTTACATTCCCCCTGTGTTCAGCACCAGCTTCTGAACCGTTGTTCTCCTTGCTCAGCTGAGTGGTGTAATACTCCAAGCTGTTCATGTCAGGTAAGAGGACGTCTGTTGGCTGGATTGTGAAGGTATCTGGCCAGTCTATGTCTGATAGGTCAGGTATATCACTGTCAGCAGTGGGAGTGGGCTCCAGTGTAAACTGAACTGTCGTGGAGAATGAGGAAGGATAAATGGATTTAAGTGGACCAACGGTGCTGTACGCTGCTGCGAGACTGAGGGAAGGTGAGACATGAAGAGGATACAAGGACGAAGGGGATATGCCCACCCTGGATGGGAAGGATGTGTCGTAGGTTTCTGTGTAGTCCTCCAGATCATACGAGTCAGAGGGCACCTTGGTGACCAGAGAGTAGTCGTCTCTATCTGTATCAAAGAAAGACATGGTCTCTAAGTAGTCCCCAGATCCCCAGTCCAGTTCCATGGTGTTGGTGGGGTAGAAGTCCTCTGGAGAGACCTCAGTGGGCTCGGATGAAGGTGATGAAGGGTGGGGAGCGATGAAAGGCACATTGTAGCCAGGAGACAGAATTTCATCTTGGTTTGGTCGCATGTTTACCACATGCGGGCGTTTGTTCTCCTCCAAGGGGGCGCTGCTGGGGCTCAGCTGGTTCACGTCCACTAGTTTACTATAAAATTCATCCGCTAAAGCGCCAGCGAACGTCAGGTTAGGAGGCTCAGGAGAAGGCTGGCCGGGTTCTGAGGTCATGATTGCCAGTGTTTGCTCTGAGTCGCCGCCCTGCTGCTTGCTAGAAGCTGCTTTCTGCTCAGAGTTAGGACTTCGCTGAGGTGTTGATCCTGTAGAAGCAGAAGGGCTTAGCGATATTAAGGATTCATTGAACTCTGGATGTGGCTGTGAACTCGTAGGAGTTGGGGAGAGAGAAGACAACTTGTGATCTGAGTTTGTCCTGCTTATTTTCCAGTCTGTGGAGAGTTTAGCTGGTGCCTCAAATTGTGGACCAGAACCAAGTACAGGCTCAGGGGGGCTTAATGATGGAGTTGTCAGAGCATGTGGCTCTTCTGTGAGGGCATCCCTTGGCGTGTTGGATTTGGAGTTATGCTCCGACTGAAACAGCATTGTGTCAGCAGTCCTAGCTTCATGGATTGGTTGAGGAGCTGATGGCAGGGCACCAGGTGAGTCTGGGCTCTCAAAGGCAGTGTAATGTGAGTCTGGTAAGGCTGATGGCGATGACCCCGGGGGATCTGGAACATCTCCCAGACGTCCCATGGGGTGGTGTGTGGAGTCCAGCGGAGGCTCATCTGCAGAGGAACAAAGTGTTTCTGTTCAGCACAGCAAAGCATACAAAAGAAAAGCACAACGAGGAGGGCTGGACTGAATAAAATCAGGCCACAGCTATTACTTCAACTCCTTTACTCAATGATGTAAAGACAATTAGTCAACTGTTATTAAAAATGACTGCTTTTATTTTCCCAACACAAGGAGCTAGTTTAGGACAAAGATGATGATGATTAAGGATGGAAGGTGATTAAGATTCAACAAACTGGATTTTCTTCACTGATGGGAGTTTGCTTTACGTCCTACTCTGGAAAACATCATCCATAAATAAGAGAGCAGGTAACACCGTCTCGCTCCAGTGAGGTCAAACTGCAGCTCAGAGAGGCAGGATGAGACCAAACATGACTTTTCATGGCAGACAGGCAGGCACCCGACTATAAGCTGTGTTGTATAACTGGACCGGCGTTACATCAGCGAGATGGCTGCAGTTTGACAGCGTTATGCTCGTTGGTCTGTAAATGGCCAACATGGGCATTGATCCTTGAGGTTTGCACAAAAACTATCGGACGTGCTCGCTCGGATATTACACGGGACGACAGTTTTTTATGAAGTGAGTCATTCAGGTCATCTCTGGAACAAAACTGACACGATCCATTTCAGTCTGTTTGCATCACCAGACGGTACAGTACAGCAAAACACTGGAGTGAAACTAGTGGGTCACAGCTGTGGCAGGTTGAGGATGTCGTATGTAATCCTGGTCTATACTTAGATTACATCAATACCATATTGACAGCTGCATCTTACACTAAATTGGAATCTGAAATCAATGAGACATTCAGGACGGCTTACCAGAAAACACCCGTTGTTCGTCTTGTGTACATTACCTGCAGCCTGTAGCTGATCTTTTGTGCTTGTTTGTACATATTGATTCCTGAGAAAAAATGATCAGACCTAATCACTGGTACACCTAACATTCAATTTGCTCAATGCCAGTAGAAGGCAGGACTAAGGAAACACTCACAAGGTGATGAGAAAAAGAACAATACTCGCCTACAACGTGAAATCCTAACAAAAGCTGACAATAAAGATTTTCCTCACTTCCAGTTCCAGAGTGTGGGAAAACGCTGACATGCTCACACTGACCATATGTCTGGGATTTTATAATCACACTCCAGAGAAAGCATTTAGCGTTTTTTATGGTGCCTGATCTTGAAGTGATGGATGGTGTAATTTTCAACTCATCAGGAAGGAACTGTGCCTGTTACAAACAATATTAAAATCCTTCAGGGTGACATTAGAAACACTGAAATGTAGAAATGGCAAATGCAGGGCAATGCAGTCACTACACTTAATTGAGTGCCAAGGCCTCTTTTTTCGCCCGTATTACATAACATAGTATGTCATGCATGCTTTAATTTGGGAAGTGCCTTGATTACATTGCACGATCAGTGTCGGAGAAAAGCTGCATGAGCTGAAATAATTCTTTAATAATTCACAGAAGCAGACCTGCTAACAGCTCCATGCAGCTGTGAAGGCTTGCATGTTCTATATAAACGTGTCATAAATATTCCAAAAGAATAGTTTCATAGTTCTGCTGGAAACTGTCTCAGGAGCTGATGGCAGATAACAGGACCGATAATGAGAAGCCAGGGTGCTGCTTACATTAAAGGAGATCTTATCGTACTGCTGTTGGCGTTGCAGATAACCACAATGACCCATATACAAAACTCACGTCTGGATTAGAGGATTTACAACATAAACAAACTCTGTTCAGTGAGCTCAGTGCAGACCGTATGTCTTGAATTTCTTCCTGAAACTGGGTCTTGAACAGAACAAGACTTTAAAGGCCCCATTATTGACGCTGCCAGGAGCTAGCCACCGACAGCCTCTGCACAGTGACTAAGCATGCAGCTGGTTACGGCCGCCGCTCTTTGGAGTCTACAGAAGCTCTGCAGAATCATGCACGTCTTGAAAATAGCTACAGAATCAGCTGAGGGAGAAGACTATTTTTAACACTGGGAGCACAGAGCAGATCACTTATAAAAAGCATCAACAAGAGAGAATATACTTCTGGAGCATCAACTTCAATTTACCGCATCACTTCATATAAGCAGAAGGCCTCTGGCTTGGCCCAGGAGAAAACTCCCAACGTAATTATAGCCTACACTGGTACCTTAATCAAGTCAACATGCGACTATAACGGAGCCCGCTGGAAAGGACTCAGAAAGGAAAAGCCAAGACTTTCCTCTTTGAAGGCGAGTCTGTGTTGCACATTCTCCACACTGCCACACAGTCCGCTGTGCCAAGTGTTTGAACCCAGAGGGATGAAGCACACAGCTGGGCAGATGCACACACACACACATGCACCATAATGTGCTTAACCATTATTAGCAGGAAAACTGGAATAGAAAGGGAACAAAGGCAGGAAAGGAACAGCTACTTCAGAGTGATATCAAGTCTTTTATAGGTAGTTGTTAGGAAGATACTGCATCAGTCGGTAGTTAAGTCCCAGTTTAGGCACAATGTGGGACGACCAAGTGGTCACTGTGTGAGTAGTTCTCTGTTCACTGAAAAATACACTATACTGATATTCCATCTGTACTCAGATTTGGTCTAAAATACCCCAAACACTATCCTGATCAAGCTGCACTTGACTATTCACTGGGCTGTAAATAAAGACGGATATAAACGTACACATAAAAGAACAAAGGCAGCCATGCTTTCAAGGAGACGGTGTTTGTTGAGAGAGCGCGTTAATGTTTGAGGTCATACTGTCATGCGTGACCCCAAAATGTCACCTCATCTCAACAAGCATCTCCGGTGACAAACCATTTCATTTCAGTCACATTTAGGACAATTAAGCCTGCCTGAAGGGACGACAGACATCCAGCTCATTAGGACAAGGACTGCTATTGGCAGGTGATTGACGATAACGCTGGTAATCGTAGTGATGATGGAGGACGATTATGATGATGATGGAGGTCAACAACGAGAGGCAAGAGCGCAGACAGACAGAGAACACGCTGTGGATCCAAACATCAACGCTCGCTTTCATATTTTGCTAGAAACATATTTTTTATGGCAAATAGAAAACCTAGAAAATGTCAAAAGTGGAACCATTCTTACACAAAGACACTGAGTGCTTAGTCTTAATAATTAATGGTCTGAATACTGGAAGGCTAATCTCTGGTAATGACAGTCAGAGCGACAGACAGAAGCCAGGCACAGAGCGAGTGTGATCAGCCTGAATCGGGGCTGACATTACAGTAGGCAAAAACTGACAAAGGCCTCCAAGTCTAGTCTGCGCTGCCACCTGTTCCATGAAACACGAGTGTGTCACACTTGGCTGGCCGCTCATTGTTCGGCCCGTCTCCCAAATTAAGCGCCGAGCCGCGTGCAGATGGACGCCTTCAAATATCAGGTCGGGAAGGCATGAAAGTCAAACAGTCCCAGTTTCTCTCCTCTCGTTCTAATCTCACACCTCCAGTTAGTCACCTTTTCTGCTTCTCCAGAAAGTGAATCATTTTTATGGTAAGCCCTCATTTCACTGCCAATAAAAACTCATTACCAGAAACAGGGACAGGCTGTTACTGCGTTTGCAGCCTTTAAACGTGTTAAAAAAAAAACTACATGTGCAGTTTAAAGACTCACATTCGGCGAAGAACAAAAACTGTTTCCCTCTGACTTCTCCTCCTAAAATGAGTCCCATTGTTCCGACATCACTTCAGAATTAATCCACATTTAGCGATATTTCATGTCTATTCGTCAGGCCTCCACGTGTCTCCTAGCTCAGACTGGATCTCATGAATAGAGGCCTTGTTCCTGCCATGCACTTAACTAAATTTGCATTAAAAATAAATAGATAGTTATTCATTAATTAATCATTCTTATGATGCAGGGCGGTGACTGAGCAGAAGTATTAAGAGGATGCGGGTTTTCCTTAAATTACACCATCTCACAGGGGACGGCGTCTTTTTACTGTGACTTCCAGCTCGAGTAAAAATCCATTTGTCCATATTTAAGCAGATGATGACACAGAAATAATGCCCTTCTTGTGGCTTGGTCGGTTTGTTCTGTTTCCATTTATACATCCAGCTCCAGGCTTGAATCACTGCCAGCAATCATGTAAAAAGGATTCTGGCAAGAGAGGGATTATTTCTGCTGGTGGCTGATCTGATGTTCCTTTACAAAAACCCTACAATGGAATAAAAGGAGATAAAACGGACCGGGGAGACTGTGCTGAGGGCAGACGTGGCTTCATGCATCCGTAACAGCACCGGTTCAAGATGAACATCGGCAAAACCTTATGGGATCATATACCGGATCACTACAGCTCCCCACTAACCTACATATGTGTCTGACTGTTTAAAGGAGCTCTACAGAGTTCCCACAGCGTCTGACTGCCTTTTTATTTTATTTTATTTTAATTTGGCATAAATACCAGCAGCACATTTCTGTTTTACTTAATTTAACCTTTACAACTGGCTAACATTCACCTTCCTAGAGGGCATTAAAGTGTATGGATTTACTGTAAAGTCAACAGCAGCATATAAACTAATCATATGTTTAGATATATCTGAGAATACAGGGGCGAGAAATGGTTTGCTTCAGCTACTCCATTCACAACAGAGCATTATTTTACTGGTTTAGCCAAAGCACAGTACTTTGGGACGTGTAAGAACACGATACAAAAAGCATAAATGCTTGAATGTTTGTGCATAAATATTTCATGCAGGGCTTTAAAATTGTGTTCTCTGACACATTTTTCATATATTTTTAAATACGGTTTTGCATGTTTGAGATAAATTCTGTGATAAGTGTAAAATATTTACAGAAAAACAGAGAATGGAAAACAACGCACAGAAGCTATACGACGGCAAAGCCTCCAATAATGAACACAAACACTTCTAAATCCTCCAAGGAAGCTAATATGTGATTCTGCCTTCGCTGCCTTCTCATGACTACAGATCCCAAGGCCAAAGCAGAGTTAACCTGATAACGGCTGTCTGCAGGAAGGGAAGCA